GATGTGGGAAGGGAAGGGGGAGGAATGATATTCCAAGCAGAGAGCCGACAAGTGTAAGACAGCATGGTAGCCCCAGTGGCAGGGAAGGGAATGAGATGGCTGGAAGAGAATCTAGTCCTGGAGGGACGATGTCTAGTCCTGGAGGGACGATGGGTCATGCTAAACATGTGAGACTTTACCTTCCCAGAAACTGATTTTGAAATTTTACCCCTTGGAATTAGAGATTAATTATAATAAGAAGTAAAATAATCTAATAGGTAACCCTCATTGGGCAGTTATCAAATGCCAGGAACGGCTTTAAGTATTTTCAATCTCTTCATGTTTAATCCTTAAAACAACCCTGTGAAGTAGGAACTATTATTATCCTCATGCTTTATACGTAAGGAAATGGAGACTCAGAGTCTCCGCTAGAATGACTGGAGGCAGAGGAACAGAAGAGGGGAACATCTTTATACAGCAGGTTTGCTGATGAGCATCCCTTTGAACCAAGTATCCCTTTGCTCAGAAAACACACGAAGGACCAGGACACATCAATGGCAGAGGAGAGAAATTTGGCAGACCTAGAAGAGTCCTCCACTTTTCTGGATTGTGAGCCCCTCCCTCACCCTGTTTTCAGACGGAATACAAGGAGGAGGGAGAAGGGAAGGGACCTGTGCAGGGTCCTGCCTCTTCCAGAAGTGGCGGTGGGGGGGGAGAGTGGGGGAGGGTTGAAAGCTCTTTCAACACATTTATTCACATAATACAACAACCCTGAGAGAAATACTACTGCTTCCTGAGTTGAGGATGCAAGGATGCCAAGAGGTTAAGGAACCTTCTGGGCACACAGTCAGAGGCAGAACGAGGATTTGAATCCAAATATCTACATCCCTATTCAGGCTTCCTCTTACTTGACGTGATAGGACGTGCCCATCTCATCACTCATTTATTCTCAACATCCTTTCTTTACTTGGCTTTCCATCCACCTCCTCCTCCTGATTCTCCTCCTGCCTTTCTGGCTGTTCCAGCTCATTCTCCTTTATGGGTTCCTCCTTATCTCCCTGACTTCCAAGAGTTGGAGTGCCCCAGAGATCAGTCCTTGGACCTACTTTCTACACGCAGCTCATAGATGATCTCACCCAATTTCACAGCTTCAATATCATCTCTAGGCAGAGAGCTTCCCAGAGGCCCAGATCGTATCTCCTGCCTGGAACTCTCTCAGGAAATTTCAGCTCGTGGATCCAACTGTCCACTCAGCCTCTCCATGTGGCTATCTACTGGGCATCTCAAAATCAGCATGCCAACAGCAGAGCTCCTGCTCTTCCCCAAATTTGCTCTTCCCCAACTCAGCTAATAGCAGTTCTATTCTTCTAGTTGCCCAGGCCAGAAAACTGGATGTCATCCTTGACTCCTCATTTTTTTTCCCTCATGATGCATCCAGTACATCCAGTACAGATATCCATTCTTCACCACCCCTGGCCCACCACTGCTCCCTCTTGCCCAGAAGGTGCAATGGTTTCTGACTGGTCTCCCTCCTTCACCCCGTGAGCTGTCTGCGGACCAGAGTGAGGTCAGAGGTGAGTGAAGCCCTGCCTCGAATGCAACATGTAGGAGCATCAAAAAACTCAGGAATCAAAACAAGTGGTGTTTTCATGCCATATTTTTTCAAATCAGAATCCATGACAAAAATATCCTAATGAACAAAATCACAAACTCTTTCATGAAAACAGGACGAGAGTGTTGGCATCACTCCCCTCCATCCCGGCCCTGCCCCAACTCTCTTCAGTGTTAGAGGGATCCCGTTAAACATCTTGTTGATCCTCTGGCCTCCCATATCAGAGCAAAAACCAAAATCCTCACCGTGACCTGCAAGATCCTTTATGGCCTGGGCCACCATTATCTCTCTGATAACTCCCACTTCTGACCTCGATCCCTCAACCCGATCCCTTCCACACAGGCCTGCTCCCTCTTCCATCAGGAAGCTCCCACCTCAGGGCCCTCATGCTTGCCGGCTCTTTGCCCAGAATGGTCTCCTCCAGACACATCCCTTACGTCACCAGGTCTCCTCACAAATCCACCCATCGGGATCACACCATCTAACATTTCACTCCCTCCTCCCACCCACACACTTCATATTCCTTATCTCTATTTTTTTCTCCTCAGAAACTATCCTTAGGACCTGCATATTTCACTTGTTTATGGTTCTCTCTCACCCACTAGAAAACTCTGTGAAATTTTTGGGGGAGAGGGATTTGTTTTGTTCTCTGCTATTTTCCTAGTGTCAAAAATTCTTGAATGACAGTAGGTACTCAGTACATTTTTTAATGACTAAGTAATACTTACTGAGAAGTATACTCATATACTTACAACTCCTGAGTGTTCTCCTTTGGCGTCAATGTTCCTAATGCCTACTTTGTATCAGTTTTGAATCCTACTGCCTCCATAAATTACACTGGGAACTACTCTTCCAAAACGCAGTGGTCTGGGATCTGAACAATTATGGGATATTAAATTAGAAAATGTATTGCACAATCTTTCTTCCAAACTGAACAAATTTAAGAGAAATGTGACTTGCTTAAAAAAAATATTTATCTGGGATCCAAGTTCATCCCTCAGATTAGATCAGTGTTGGGAGAGGAGATTGCTTCTGAGAAATAAACATTGAAGATGAGGTGTCTCTTATAGCAAATTCTGAATTTTATTTCTATGCCCTGATTTCTACGGACTTGACGCTATATCAAGATGTTATAGAGATTTTCTCAACGATGTCCGAGTGAGTTTCTGTGATCAAAAGACCTTTCTGACGTAAAAGTGTCTTCAGTTACCTTTACTAATCATTAACCAAAACTGAAGGTAGGCCTTGCAAATAAAACTTGTCATTTCACCATGAACTGTTATGTTTTGATGGAAAAGATGAAGCTCAGCAAAGAGCAAATCTACAACTTGGCCAAAAAACAATAGACTTTGCCTTCAAACATCTGGAAGACACACAATGACCAACATGACTAACCTCACCAGACTCCAGTCCACTGGTGGCCTCCCTGCTTTTGCGGGTTAAATCCAGTACAGGGGCGAGGCAGGGGGGCGGTTGAGAATGTCCTGTTGAAAAGACAATTTTAGCAACATTTGGGGAAAGTGCAAGATTTACATGTTGTCCTAAAGGCTAGTTTCTTTGGAAATCTTCCAAATGTCTTTTGTAGTTTTATTTTTTAAGAGGATTTATACTGTTTCATAGAGATTTCTAGAACTGTAGTCAGCAGCCAGTTAGCCTAATAAGCTGAATACAGGTTTCCTTTCACCCCTACCCTGTAGCATCCATAGAAAGAGGATTTACACTATAAAGTTTTCAGTAAAACTCCGTGTCCTAACCTGGATGCTACATGTGTATCAAATCACCAATATCTGAAAAATAGTTTCAAATTTGTCTTAGCCAAGATATAAAGTTAGGATTAGAAAAAAATAGAAAGAAAGAAAGAAAATCACTGCCTCTTGCCAAGGACAGCAACAGAAACCGATAACTTAATAGATGTCCCTTAAAACGGGTTGGGAGGGGTGAAGCTGATATGCACACAGCTCTGACTTAATACTACTTGAAAGAATGAGTAAAGACGGAATTGGCCGGGGTTAGAAACAGGCAAGAATTACTAGAACTATCAAGGGCAGGAATGGCCATGCTTACATGTGAGGCATGAAGTTATTCTGTCCCTATAACAACTGATGAATAGTCTCTCTGAAATCTCCTTTTTCTCTTGTTCTCTATATTTTATTGGAAGTCTTACTTTCTAGACAATGCTAGACGCTGCTTGTCTATGAGTTTGTCTATTAGTTATTACCTTAATAGAATACGTTGAATCTTTTATTGACACGACCACCTCTGCTTTACTTTTCACCCAATTTTTTATGCGTTTCCTATACTAGTAATGGCCCATTTATCTGAATCTTTAAATGACCACCAAAAGTAGTGTAGGAAAGCTCAATGCACAGCAAAGTCTTAAAAGGGTCTATGTTGAAAGCATTCAATCTGCATGTGATTCAAATCACTGTGTAACACCGTTCTTCAGTCTTGGTTGGCAGAGCCCAGTGGGCAGGGTGAAAGCCCAGCACAGAACCTTCCTGAGCCCTGACACTAAACAAGCAGGTCAGTGCATGGGAGCTTGCCGAGCTCTGTGCAAGGGAGCTTGCCGAGCCCCCATGCCACCGCGGCCTGGACCATTCAGGATGACCACACCTTTGCCCTGTGAACCTCTAACTAGGAGCAATTATCACATTTGCAATGGGGTTCAAATTATGTCCCCAAATAAAAAGCACAGATGATAAAATGCTGAAACTGCATCTTCATATCTACATAAGCATGGAGATGTGTAAACTTTTAGAATTTCTACATTTTTTTGCAAAGGCCTTCCTGTCCTCTCCTGAGTGGTCTAAGGGATAGATGATCCAGGTCCACTTTAAAAAAAAAAAATTGTTGTTGTTTTAAAACCCACATGACACCTTTATTACACAGACTAGTTTGCATGATGACTCCTATATAGCTAACACAAGCACACCCTATTCTAGAAATTTCTCTTTGGAGATTAAGTAGATAAGTATTTTAGGTAACACATTGAGTAGACAGATAAAGCTCAATCTCTCAGGATCTTAATACTCTATCCTAGTTGGTTTGGAACCACGTTCTCTTCCCACATCTGCAAGGACCATTCTGCATATTTTTAATTGACATGAGCTAATTTGTTTTGAGCATTTGGTGACATTCTAAAATAATTGGATTGAGATTTACTGATCTGTGTTCTAATTGGAGAAGGGGTATTATTCATTTGTGACTTCTAAATTCCAACTAAAATGGAACCTTTTTCAAAAAAACTCTTTTTTAATGAGGACATTTCACCAGCCGTGTTTGTGTGTGGCTGTTCGTTGCTCTAACCTTAATGACTTATTTATAGAGAATGTTTCCTAAAGATGCCCTTCATGAGAAGGACAAGTTTGGCAACAGTAATTTACTTAATTTATCTTAAATTTGGTTTCAGTGAGCAACCCTAATTAACCTGATTTTTTGCTGATAATCACTCTCAATGGAATCAAATCACAAATCCGGGGATGGATTGAGCGGCACCCAGAAGGAAGCAGCTCTCCGAGCACTGATCCAGCGCACAGGATATAGCTTGGTCCAGGTAGGAACTTCTTGTGACATCTGCTGAGATCCAGCACTGAATTCACTGAATGGTGGGAATATTCGTGGTCCTAAGATGCAAAATGTGAAAGGTCAGCTGTGTAACTCTTGATGAATGTTCTTCCCCGGGGGGGGGGGGGGGCAGGGTACGGGGATGGGGGAGAAGTCACATCATTTCAGTGTTGTAGGTGACCCTGCAGAGGATGTTCTTTCTACCTGGGGTTATCAGCTTCACCTTACTGGTCATTTGAAAGCAGAATCCTCGTTCACGGTCATAGAGACTATCGTAGCTTTAAAAAAACCACTTTGGTACATGAAAAGGCAATTGGAATTTACTACCCAAAGCTTTCTATGAAGTAGAACCATGCTAGTATTTCAAGAATCAGCAGAGAACAAACTGTCCCTGAACTAGCCTTAGTTTCCAGAGAGATTTTCTACTTCAGATGCAGGAAGATTTCTGGATGTGGGATCCCAGGACTGACCCTTTGGTCACCGTAGCTATTCCATGATGTTTTCTCATAATACCTACCCAGCCAAGTTTAGGATCTGTACTAATTTCTCTCCATGTTCAGCATTTTTAAAAAGGAAAAAGAAAAAGTCCTAAAACTGACTATTCATAGTTGTTGGTTAAGAATTATCTATATATTATTGCTGTTTGTATGAAAGCCTCCTTTAGAGAGGTTAGGACACATAGAAAAGAAAGCTAGTACTAGGCATATTAATGATCTTACTTGAAGAAATAATGCTGCCCTTTTTACAGTAAGACAAAGTATTTTAATTCCCAGCTGTAGTTTTTCACCCACATACTTTTCAAACTTAACCAAACCCATATGCTATTACAAATACAAATTTCATCTGGATAACAATAAAACATATAGCATCCTTTTATTACATATTCCTTTGTCAGATTGTTACAAAGGGTACTACATTTAGTTATGTTAGAAATGTTACCAAAAATACTTAAACTTTTTTTCTTTTAACCTTCTTTGTATCTGAAACACTCATGCAAACAGTGGTAGTAGAAAGCACTTAAACCCTTTTGAAAAGCAATTTATTAATATTTATACATAAGGATGTTTGCCTTCTGGAAATAAATCTCTAATGGTCCAAAATATAATGATAGGAATACATATAAACCTGTCTAGCATGGCATTATTTTTAATACCTCAATATCACAAACCTAAGTGTATAAAAGAAAATTATTAAGTAAACTATGAATATCTAATCATTACATTCAACAAGCAGAACTTTATGAGAATTAACCACAAAACAATGTAAATTATTCAATTTTTTTCAAAACACTAGTTCTTCCTTTCCCCCCAAATGAAATTCAGGGCAAGTCTGATGGCTTTTTGGTAACTTTTAGGTAATAAAAAAATCTTCCACTAAATAATAATATGTCTAGTGCACTGTAATAAAAACTTCAAAGTTATAGCTATTTTCTTTCCCAAGTATGTCAGTTAGATGGTGATTTCTATGTTCTTTTATGCTTTCAGAAGCATAATTTCCCATGCCAGTCTGCTAATTATGCGTTCTGACTCAGAGCTGAGGCAGAAGGAAGGGATCAAAGCAAAAGAGAGGGGGCAGAGTGTGCTTGACCCAGTATGTCAGCACTGGGCTCTCTGGGCTCAGCAGGTAGGCAGGATCATCAGAGACGTCCTTAATTCCATTGTTAGGCATCTCTCACCTGGCTTCGCTCTCCTCTGGCACCACTCTCCTGGGCCTCTAACTCCTTCTGCAGAGCTCTTTTGGACACTCTAAGCAGCCCTCCTGGGGAAGAGGGAAGATAACCCCTGATTCCTCCATGTGGCCAAACTCTAGTCCCCCGAAAGTACTCACACATTCTCTGACCAGTAAAACCTGGAGGGACGGTTGCCACAAAGCAACCACCTCTCCTTCTCACCAACATCAAAGCAGGAGAACCCACTGCTCTCACCATTAGGTATTTCAGGAATGAGTTAGACCCACCAGCCTAGTGTGTTCCCAAACACAGAGGATGCATATCAAGCTCTCTGAGTGGTTTCCTTATTTCCCCTGCCTCAGATAAATTGAGATGCACCTCACAATTCCTTTCACTTGGGGGAGATTAGAATCCACAACTCACCAGCAGTGGTCTCCAAATATCTCTGAATGGACTCCCAAACCCCCTCTCAGACTCCCTTACTGCTTTCCTAAACTCAGGGATGGGGAGCGGGAAGGAGGTGTTCTGTCAAGAATGTAAAACAATTATAGCAGCTTCTTGCTACCTCCTCATCCTGCTTGGTGGTCCAGTGACTTGATTTCATATCCAAGCCAGAGGCCAAAAAGAGTTCCATCCATCTTAAAATCCTGTTGCAAATTAAATAGCATTCGATCATTAAGTAATCATTTTAAAAAATTCTGCGGGACAGAAAATTGTAACATATTATTACAGCTATGTAAAAAGTTTACAGATAGAATATTTTTCAAAGACTCAAATAGTGATGGAGATAATTTTACAAACCTAATGCTAGGATTTAAGAACATTTGCAGTATAAAGGAAGAGAAATCAATAGGGCTGTTTTACTTTTATAATTAAAAATCTTTCCCAATAAAATAACTAAAAATATATGGCCTATCAGCTTATTACTTTGAACTTACATATTCAATTACATGCAGAAAATGTCAATAATGAAACCTCAAGTTAATAGCAACTAAATAATAGTAAACATTTAGTGGGCACTTCCATTCTAGCTGCTTTATATAAGTACATTCATTTAATCCTTACAACAACACTATGATCATCTCCAGTTTCCAGATAAGAAAAACAAGGCACAAGAAGGTTAGGTACCTTGCCCATGATTTATAAGCTATAATTCCACTGCTATTGGTCAGAATTTCTGGCAAGATTTACAGAACTAAGAGCTGTTATAATATTATCTTTATGACTGCAATTTTAGAGATTAGCATGATAGGGCATGCAAAACTATTTTGTTGAGCCTAAACTTTGTAACATGATTCACTTTGAGTAGTACTATTTATTTGTTAGCAGAACAACTAATTGGGTCAGAAATTCTTCCATAATGTAAAACCTAGAATTCTAAAACCCAGCTATCCAGATCTAAAGCCTCTAATTAAGGTCTAAATACATAGATGACTTGGTTCAATCATTTTGAATGAATTGGAAAATCCCTCCTGATTTTGGCTGCAAAGTATAGGAAGTCACCCAAGACTTCAAATGGGAGACCTGTGGTTTAATACACTCCTTGCCACATACAAGTGGTATGACCTTCAGCATGTCCTTAACCACTCTTGGTCTTAATTTCCAGAATACTGGCTAGGTCCTGCTCCCACTCTGCTAGTCATGATGTTGCAATCCTGGGATCTGCACAATCTAGTCACTGGTCAGCAGCCCAGATTAACTGGCTGGAAAAGGAGAACAGCATGTTGGAGGCACAGCCTCAGCGCTTTGAGACTTAGGGGAGACTCTTCAGTCTTCTCCACACTTCAGCCTTCAAAAAGAGGGCAACATCGGGTTTCCTTTTTTAAAAATCTCTGTACCAAAAATTAAGATAAAGAAACAGCTTAATACAATTCTGGGAGCATACCCATAAAAAAACCATTTAAAATTTGATGGTATTTGCTAAATTAGGTTTTGAAGGATTTCTTTTGTTGGATCTTTGCAGCCTCCGAGGTTGAACGTTGAATACTTGCAAAAGGAGAACTCAAAAACCAGAGGGTGACTAATTTGTGCTCTGTTATCACTAGCAGGACAAATACAGCTGTCAAAAATAGAATTTTGCAGGTTACTTAATAACGTGAGCCAGTCTTTTATATCCCAACTGATGCAACACTTTGTGCCTGTGAGCCTTTGAATTATTGTAAAAAAAAAGAGATCACAAAGTACATCTTTCGATATTGATACCTGGAAATTTCATCAAAATACCTTGGAGAATAAAGGAAAGTTAATGCCATACCCTGCATTTAGTAGACATTCAATAAATATTGATAAAAATTTATTGAATTTCAACTTCACACTTGCGTTAACACCACATAGAAATATTTTGGAAGGAAGTATGCTGCAATGTTGTTACTTTGTCAACAGTCTTTGCCTCCAGACAATGGAATTATGTGTGGTGCTTCTCCCCTTTTTTCATTCTTAACTGAACTTGCCAGATTTCCTAAAACAAGTATATTTTTGAGAGTCAAAGAAAAAAAAATCAGATCCTGCTGACCCTTTCTTCAAGAATTCTTTAATGATGTGAGTCATAAACTCTGACCTATGATGATCCTTCCATCTGGAATTTTCTCCTTAATGCCAGAAAAATACATTTTCATAGATGAGCATTTTCAGCCAACTTCCCACCCAATGTGTGATTAGTTTACATCAATTTTAATTCTAGTAAAATTAAAACTAAAAATATATTTAATAAAGATCACCCTCGAGTAGTCCAAATATTTTTAAAAGTAGACTACTTTATCATATATTTTAAAATACTTATATTTATGTATTTTTCATACTTAAATATTATTTTTAAATAATTCAAAATATGGTGTGTATTAGCACTGTTGTCCAATTACCCTGAATCTATTTTCTAAAAATTATTAGGACACAAATTTTTATAAATTATGACAGTCCCAATGCTTTCTTAATCCAGTGGTTGTCTTTAGTATGCATAAAGGATTTTTTGTTTTTGTGTTTTGTTTCCTTAGTCCCTCTTATTGAACACAGTGTGTTATGGAAGGCCTTGGGATTATAGAAGTAGAAGATGTAGCATCTGCCTTAAAATGCATATAAAGTAGTTGTGATGAAAGTGAGTTTATCCAAAATTAAAAATGGTAACATAAGACCCATTGAGTGAGCAATACAGCTGTGGGTGCCTCCTTTCTGTATGGAGCTATCAAATGGACCATACCCTGACCTAATGAGTGGGGACAAATATTCAGATATAAGGATGTTCATCATCCTGGAATTTATAATGTCAAAAAATAGATCTACCCTAAATGTCCAATAAAATATTACTGGTCACAAAAAAATATGGT